ACTAAAGAAGAACCCGTCCAGAGGACCTACTTATTTTTTCTTTCTGATTTTTTTCTACCTGGATTACTGAGATGCATCAGGACATATTTAAGGTCAAGTTTAAATGAATGAATGAAAACACACAGATGGATCCAGCAGGTCAGGTAATGGTCTGTCTTCACTCCTCTCAGCTCCTCCACCAGAGCCTGGCTCTGCCTCCACCCGAACTCGTCCTCCTCTTCTCCCACAAACAGGAGGAGGAGAGCTTTGCCCAGGGAGAGGAAGAACGGCAGGTTTTCCACCGTCAGCTCAGGCTGGGGAGAAAACAAAAACAAAAACAAGACGTAGGGAGTCAAAACGTTGATCTAGTGATTTCAAAACTGCAAAAATCTTCATTTTAAGAGTCTGGATTTGTCAGATTCAGCACCCGGGTTCCTGCTCTTTACCTCAGCTGCTGTTCAGATATAAAACTGATGATGCAGCAAGGAGAACAGAGATTATTTCACAGGAGGAGRTAAACAGGATGTTAGGGAAGAAAAACAGAGGAATTGTTTGAGGTTTGTGTCAGTTCYACCAGTCCTCAACTAGGAGATGAAGTTGTGAGACACAGACAGAGTCTTAGTGGTTGGCGTTAGCTTCCAACCATTTTTAAATGATCTGTTTAGTGGTTCACCAGTGTGGCGTTAGCGAAGCTAAGAATTATGGTTAGCAGATTAATAGTTAGTGAGCCTTMCTTTAGCTGAGCTCACCACTGATCTAGACATATCATTAAAGTCATTACAGCTAATGACTTGTTATAAATTAAATTAGGTAAACACACACACACACAAACTTGTTTGTATATCCTTGTGGGGACCTTCCATTGACTTCCATTCATGCTTTTTACTCTTTATATCCTAACCCTGACCATATACTCTAAAATTAACCTCACAGGTACCTACCTACCTGACCCTAAAACTAACCTAAACCTTGGTCCTAAACCTAACTCCCCATCCGTAATTTGCATTTGGACCCGTGGGGACCTGGCAGTGGTACACATACACAAACACACACACTTCTACTATGTCTCTCTATCCTTGACGGGACTTTCCTTTGACGTCCATTCATTTTTTGGAAATTTTATATCCTAACTCTGACCATTTACCCTAAAATTAACCTAAACTCAATTCACAACTTGGTCCTAAACCCACCCAAAATCAGCCTCCAAAGTCGTGGGGACTGGGCTTTGGTCCCCACAAGGAGGATCCGGTCCCCACAAAGCTACATTTTCTTGAAAAATCGTCCCCACCATGAAGCAAAAAAAGGCACACACACACGTACCACTGGGTGGATCCGGGCAGTGTTGATGTGTGTGAGCAGCTCTTTAACAGATGAGGACGTGAGTTGAGCAGAGGGACGGGCGTCTGTCCTCCAAGATGGAAACAGCATCACCACAGGAAGGTGGACGTCTTGCTCTGCAGCCCTATGAACACACACACACACACACACACACACACACACACACACACACACCGTTTTTTTAAGCAACATTTAAAATGTAAAACCAGCAGTTGAAACTCTGAGAAGATAAAACATTTGACCTATTGGACCAGGTCGTCATGCTAACAGGATCTGCTGCTGTAGAACTTGTGTGTTTTCTCCTCTGAAGTTAGTTTTGAATGTTTGTAGAAACTGCCCCTTTCTGATCCTGTTCAGAATGTTAGCCATCTGATCAGAACGAACCAAATCCAGGTCTGAACTGCCTCAACTCACAATGAAAACATTTTCACTGAAAACAACCGTCCGAGGTGGTCTGGACCTCTTGGACCTGCATGAATTGATTAAAATTACTCCAACAGCCCTGCTAGGGAATGTTCACGAGATCTACCCTGTTTTTGACTGTTTTGTTTGGATTACCAGGATGCAGTTTGGTGAGTTTCTYTTTAGTTGTTTTAGGACCTGCTGTGGTCGTATCATTCAGGGAACATACGTCTAGTTATATTCACCTAAATAAACAAGCACTCATGTTGTGACACAGTACCTGACATCTACAGGTTAAATAACTGCTCTTTACTCAGAACATGAAGTCATTAATTACATTATATACACATTAWATTCTCTCAATCAGCTGGATCTCCTCTGAAGACAGCGGCTCTGAACCGTGTTAATGTGGAAACGTTTTCCTCAAGGTTTGTTTAGTACAGAAACTGACAAACTCACTTTGCTCTGTCGTTTCTGTGCAGTAGATGAACAACATCTTATTAATTGCAGCTTCAGAGTCTTAAAAAAGTAGTTTGAGTAAAAACAGCTTCACAGGGAAAACCTGGAGGTCTGTACCATTCCTGTGCWGGTTCACCGGTCAGAAGTCCACTCAGCACTTCTCCTCTGAGGGACTTTGCTGCTTCAGTGAAGATGGAGAAACCTGGAGAGGAAAGAATAGCATTTCATCAAGAAAAAAAAAAGTATGAATTATAAGCATTCACACAACTGAGGTCCATTTGTTCTTCTGTATGTTTTGTGGTAAATAACTTCTGCAATTTTTGTGCTATTTCAACAATTCTTATATCAAACTGCTCAGCTCATTCATTCCTGTTAAAATGTTTTGTATTTGTGCAGTTTTAATTTTTTTAATATTTAGTGTTTTCAGCCACGTTTTGCCCATTGAAAATAGTTTATTTCAAACTTTTGTGCTTTTTACAATATTTACTGCTCAAATTCACCTTGTTCTAGTTATACTTTTTTAACTTGGGTGAGCTATTTTCAGCTTCTTTTAGCTTTGTTCCGCTAATTTCAGCTTTTTTTACTTTGCTTATTTCAACATCCATTGGCTAATTTAAGCTTTTTAATGCTAATGTTAACATTTTTCTGTCTTCTCAAATACTCTTTACTGTTTTTCTGCAAACTTTACCTTTTTTAGCTAATTTCACATTTTTTGTTTTCATTTCAGATATTTTCTGCTTAATTYAGCAAACGGGCTCTTTTCTGATAATTTTAGTGTTTTTCTGCTTTTCTCTGCTACTTTACTGATTTCAGCACTGCATTTTTGCAGGAAATTAAATTTCTCTGGTTTAATCAGCAGTTTATGTCAACCTGTCTTTTCTTTGGCTTGTTTATTTAAATCACCGCAAATTATCGCCGTGAACGAACGTTTCAAAGATTATTTCAAGCTTTTGTTGTATTCAACATCAACATTTCAGCCTCCCACCTGTTTCAGTCGACGTYCTGAATAATCCCAGGATTCTGTCCAGCCTGTAGCCTGCGAGCTCAGGGTGAGGTGCTTCCTGTAAAAATGATGTCACTTCCTCCTGGGTGGACAGCAGCATTGGAGAGGCTGTAAGGCTCCTGTTTAGAGATAAACATGACAGAAAACAAAATAAATGTTGTGACTTTCTAAAAGAATGAACACAATTTAACAAGCAATAATGTGAGACTAATTTATTTACAAACATTTCTCAAATTTGAATTAAAATCCTCTCAATCAGCTTTAAGAATGTAATCTTCTGTAAATAATTAAAAGGACCAAACAAGAAGCCCAGAGGGACTCCATGAGAAAGTCATGTTATCTGACATCATAATGAAGCGATGCAGCGCCTCGCTACCCAGCATTCCTCTGTAGAGCTGAGCCGGCTGCTGGGGGCGGAGCAGCAGGACGCTGGGAAAGCTCGTGATTGGCTGGAAGGGGACGGGGGTCCCGAGCTGAGCGGCGCAAAGGTCGGTCCACTCGCCACAGTCCACCACGCTCATCTGAACATTGTTCACCTCTGAATCTAAAAAAACAGTTTCAAAAATATCATSTGTTGTTTCAACAAAACTATAAACCTGTCTTAAAATGACTTTAATTTTATTTCCTTTATTCAATACTTAAACCCTCAAACATAAATATGTGACTCTCATGGGGCAAAAGAACATTTAACATTTAAAGATATCATCCTCATAATTGCCCTCCAAGTCCAAATGAAATATCACATCAGCTCTAGTTTTTTAAAAGGGAGTTATCGACAAGTGTTTATCAAGTCTACATGTGATGAAAGAATCGCTAAGATTACTTAGATTATTCTGTTTCTTTATCAGCCACCTCCTAGCTGTAGATTTACTTCAGCTGTTTAATTAAACAAAGAAAAGTACCTAAAGACCATCTTTATCATATCTGCTGCTTAAATCAAAGCAAGACAAAGAATACGAGCAACAAGTGCAACAATATGAATTTCAGCGTGACATCATCATTGGAACAAATAAACAACTGTTTACCTGAAAGTCTCTTTGCAACGTTAAGGAAGGAGCTGAGGAACTCCATGGAGACAGCATCCCCTGGTGGAAGACAAAGAGACTGTTATTATTATTATTAACCAGGTGTGATAAGAGAAGCAGAAAGCAACAAGTCCTGAGGGCTGGTTTACATTTGAGGTAGAAGAGCGCCACTGTGTGGTAGCTTTGTGCCACTTCAGTATGGAAGTTGTCAGAGGTCAGCTGGTTGATGGAGTCTGTCTCCGGCTGATTGGCTCGTTTCTCAAAAACAGACGCTGCAATTTCATCATCCAGCCTTTCTGAAAACAGAAACACATAAAAATGACACAAACCAACCTCCTGGTGGCTTTTTTTTCCTCCTCTCTGTTTGTTCCTCTGCTTACCAAAGTGTAAACCCTCCTCATTCTCCTCTTCCTCCTCCTCCTCCTCTTCTTCCTCCTCTGTGTCTGTGAGGAGCTCCAACATGTCATCAAGGCTGTGTAAGGTCAAATACCTCACCTCAGAGCTCTGCAAACACACACATACCAGAAAAAATAACAAAGAATCCTGGTTTATATGGAGAGAAATGATGGCTGTACCTTCTCAGGCAGCCGGTAGGCGGCGTTAAACTCTTCAGAGGTTTTGACTGCAGGACTCTCTCTGGAAAACAGACAAGCAGGAGTGGGTTTTAAAGTGGTACAGCTCAGATGTGAGGCAGCAGCGTGCAGAGGGCGGCATGTGTGCTCTAACTTTAACAAAAAAAAAAACTAATCCATCATTTGACTGCTAATTTTAATATTCTGACAGTTGGGGGAGTGGAGTCAGTCAGTGATAGTTGTAGCTGGTGGGAAGGTGCCATACCAATGTCATTTTTCTTTGGGATCAATAAAGCATTTTAGAATTTCGTTCCAACGTAAATGCTGCAGTTTGATTTCCGTGCTTTTATGCTTTTCTTTAAATAAAACAGCTGCCTACCTTCTGTTCTAACATGAGGTGATATTGAGTTTTAGTTGTATTTGATTAGTGTTGAGTGAAATGTGTGTGTGCATAAAATTATGAGCAAACAATAATGTATTTATGCTCACTCGTGCGCTCAACCTCTGCTTGTTTGCTCACTGAAGTTGACTCAAGTACGGCAAGCAGTTCTAATATAAAATCAAATCACAGTGTGTGGCAGGCCAACGTATTATATATCACACATTGTATGGCAGGACATTTTTAGAGGACATTTTTAGATATATTCAAATCACAGATTGTGGCAGATGTTTTATTATTTATAACACTGAGTATGGCAAGTGGCTTAAATATATATTCAATTAAATATATATTCAAATCACACTAACTACAGTGGTTTGCAAAAGTATTCATACCCCTTGAACTTTTCCATATTTTGTCACATTACAACCACAAACATAAATATATTTCACTGGAATTTAATGTGAAAGACCAACACAAAGTGGTATACAATTGTGAAGTGGAAGCAAAATTTTACATGAATCAAAACATTTTTTACAAATAAAAAACTGAAAAGTGCGACGTGCAAAAGTATTCAGCCCCCTTTTCCCTGAGTGCAACCAATTGCATTCAGAAGTTGCCTGATGACTGCTAATGACTCAAAAGGGTCCACCTGTGTGTAATCTAATCTCAGTACAAATACAGCTGCTCCGTGACGGCCTCAGATGTTGGTTAAGAGAATATTGGGGAGCAAACAGCATCATGAAGTCCAAAGAACACACCAGACAGGTTAGGAATATGGTTTTGGAGAAGTTTAAAGCAGGCTTAGGTTATAAAAAGATTTCCCAAGCTTTGAACATCTCACGGAGCACTGTTCAATCCATCATCCGGAAATGGAAAGAGTATGGCACCACAGTAAACCTGCCAAGACAAGGCCGTCCACCTAAACTTACAGGCCGAACAAGGAGATCACTGATCAGAGAGGCAGCCAAGAGGCCCATGTGACTCTGGATGAAATGCAGAGAGCCACAGCTCAGGTGGGGGAAACTGTCCACAGGACAACAATTAGTCGTGCACTACACAAATGTGGTCTTTATGGAAGAGTGGCAAGGAGAAAGCCATTGTTAAAAGAAAACCATAAGAAGTCCCRTTTGCAGTTTGCCAGAAGCCATGTTGAGGACACAGCAAACATGTGGAAGAAGGTGCTTTGGTCAGACGAGACCAAAATTGAACTTTTTGGCCACAATGCAAAACGCTATGTGTGGCGGAGAAAGAACACTGCACATCACTCTGAAAACACCATCCCCACTGTCAAATATGGTGGTGGCAGCATCATGCTCTGGGGGTGCTTCTCTTCAGCAGGGACCGGGAAGTTGGTCAAAGTTGATGGGAAGATGGATGGAGCCAAATACAGGGCAATCTTGGAAGAAAACCTGTTGGAGTCAGCAAAAGATTTGAGACTGGGGCGGAGGTTCACCTTCCAGCAGGACAACGACCCTAAACATAAAGCCAAAGCTACAATGGAGTGGTTTAAAAAAAAGAATATTCATGTGTTAGAATGGCCCAGTCAAAGTCCAGACCTAAACCCAATTGAGAATTTGTGGCAAGATCTCAAAACTGCTGTTCACAAACGCTCTCCATCCAATCTGACTGAGCTTGAGCTGTTTTGCAAGGAGGAATGGGCAAGAATTGCAGTCACTAGATGTGCAAAGCTGGTGGAGACATACCCTAAAAGACTTGCAGCTGTAATTGCAGCAAAAGGTGGCTCCACAAAGTATTGACTCAGGGGGGCTGAATACTTTTGCATGTCGCACTTTTCAGTTTTTTATTTGTAAAAAATGTTTCGATTCATGTAAAATTTTGCTTCCACTTCACAATTGTATACCACTTTGTGTTGGTCTTTCACATTAAATTCCAGTGAAATATATTTATGTTTGTGGTTGTAATGTGACAAAATATGGAAAAGTTCAAGGGGTATGAATAMTTTTGCAAACCACTGTATGGTCAGCTGTTTTTATTATTTATAACAGTGAGTGTGGTAAGCAGTTCACAAATATATTTAAATCACAGACGATGGCAGGCTGTTTTATTATATATGAGTATGGAAGGCGGTTTAAAGGGCCTGTGACGTTAAATTTAAGTCATATATTTGAGTGTGTATTTGGAAAGATAACATTAATGATGAATTGCAAACAAAAATTCACGACACTGAAATATACAGTTGTTGAGATATTCACATGAGCAGAAACAGGAAGTGATGTCAAAGGGGAATGCCTGAATGTACGACAAATAACAACAGACTGCAAAGAATCAGATGTTTCTGTAGATTTTTTGAGTCATTATCAGATAGATAAAGAAGAGTCAGATTTATAAAGACCAGGCAGTTACCCTTTATTTAAAGAGTTCCCCTTTGACATCACTTCCTGTTTCACTTGGACTGCACCAAGTTTAGTAAAAAATATGCACGTTTTGTGACAAACTGGGTAAAAATCATATGAATGMTGCCAAATTTCTTACATATTACGATATTTTCTTTGTCACAGGAACTTTAAATATACAATCAAATCACACTACTATGGCAGGCTGTTATAAGATATAATCACATCACAACCATTGTAGACGGTTTTGTTATTTATAACACGAGTATGGCAAGGATTTTTAATCAAATCACACAGTTTATGGCAAGCTGTTTCTATATATAAACAAATCACACTCCTCCATTATTTTAGACATCAATAATAGGTTTTCTCCTTGTTAAAGTAACATTTTTATAAGTTGAAAGTGCAATAAAAATATCCACAATCCTATTATTACTAGTATAAATGAAAGTACCTACACTTTCAGTTTTTAGTGGAAAAATAAATCCTTAAAGAGATTAAATTGGTGTTTTTACCAGTCAGATTGCATGTGTTCACCCACCTGTGTACCAGCAGCAGCAGAGCAACACCGCGCAGCCGCCAGGCCAGAGCAGAGGCCGTGTTCAGGTCCAGGTGCTCGGTCGCAGGGTGGGAAAACAGGAACACCTGGGGRATCAGCTGGTATGGGAACTGTGGGGGTGGGACCGAGGAGGGATCGGCATACACTTCAGACTGATGGAGACACAAAGCGAACAAATCAGATCATCAGGTTTTGATCGCATTTCTACTTTCACAACTGTTCTCTGATTTGGGTTTTGTGTTTCTGTTTACCACCAGCGGTGCCTCCATGAGCTGCAGAAATGAGTGGAGGTTCAGGGTCGACAGGGTCTTCCTCATGCGGGTCAGGAGGCAGCGTTCAGAGGTCATCGGGGTCATAAAACCGCCGTGAGCTCTACAGTGGAGGAACCACACTCGAGACGACGGAGACGACCCATTCACCCTGAATGAGAGGAGCACGTAACTCACCGAACGTTCCTACACAACTCTTAAACAAGCAGGTCTTTGATCTGCTCTGGTAGTCAGGGTTTCACCTGCGAAACATGCATCAATATTTTCCCCTTCAGCCATCACTATGTACGTGTGATTCACGGCAGATAAAGAAAATAAACTCACTCTAACTGTTTCAGTACCGGACCTCCAGTTAGAAGAACAAACTGATATTTGGAGCCGTAAACGTAGGCCGTCTCCATCAACGATCTGTGGTCTGAAAGAACACAATAAACAGAAAATAAAAAGATTATACCAATAAAACAACATTAAGGTCGTATTCACACCTGATAGTCCGGTAGACTCAGTTCAATTGGGGACCAAAACTGCAAGCTTTGTTTACATTTWCTGTTGGTGCRGTTTGAATTCACACTACACTTTCTCAACYKAACKAAACCCTGTTAACAACCTGTTCCCACCCTCACCTGTGGGGGCGCTGCACCAAGAACCAATAAAGGAATCAACATGAAAACCTCAGAAGAAGACATGGAGCRCAACTTCCTTCTTCATAAAATGTAAACAATAGTAAGGTTACATTTTAGTGGTTATAGGGTTTATTTTTTGTTTTTGGCAMATGTGCTAAAAAACTAGTCTTCAACAATGAGCTCAGCATGAGAGGAAGATGAGGCGGAACCACGGAGATTATTGTTTTGCACACAAGGCGGCTGAGGCGGCTCCGTGTTAACCGAGCAGAAGCACCTCCAGCTCCACAGTCATGATGTCCACCTTATACAGTCGTCCAGCGAGGTATTGACACCATATRAGTAAATTTAATACTGTTATTACTCAGAATGTCATGCAGTCCACTTCCTGCTTTTGGAGCGGTCTCTGGTCCCCTTAGCGTTCACACATCAGAACCGCACCAGAGTTCGTTTCAATCGAACCGAGACATAGGTTTTCAGGGGGACCAGAGTTCGCTTTTTTGGTCCGAATCAGAGTTCGATTACGTGTTCACACCCCCCCAAACGAACCGGACTTTCCAGGCAAACAAACTAGAGTTCGATTAAATCGGACTAAACAGTGCAGGTGTGAACACGACCTAAATTATTAAACCAAGCTCTATAAAGCTCATAAAGCAAAGATGAAATTAAATAAAATTTTCAAAATTTAGAGCTTTTATAAAACATTCCAGTTGTATTTCTCCAATTTAAAACCTTTAACAACTTGTTTTTAGTGTTTTTGTGTCTTTCTTGTGGCGTGCCACAAGGCTGTATTCTTGGTCATCTGTTCTTCTCCCTTTATACGCTGTTACTTGTTTTGAACAGACACCCCTTTTCTTTTCACTGTTACGCAGTTGACTTATAGATTTATTTTCCCATGAAGTCTAGCAGTAGTAACCTTTAAACTTATTTTCTTGAGTATATTACTGACACTAAACAGTGGCTTTTCTGTTTTAAGATGAAGGAAAGCGAGCATACGTATCTTTTTTAGCAATGAGGATTCTTTTTATTTCTTGTACTGTGAAGCATTTTTGAGTTCCAGAGGGGAAAGGTTAAGGGTAGTACAGTTAAAATATACCTTTAGCCACTTTTACTTTCACTTCCCCTCTTTATAGTCTTTTTATGTTCACCTTGAGTTCCCAGACTGCGGACATAACCAAGAACAATGTCCTTCTTCCCTCTAGCTGATCTTTCCATGGCCAGAAGGTCGGCATCTGTGTGGACGTATTTCACCTCTTCACGCAGAATGGCACTGGAGGACAAAGACATCAACAAAAAAAACAGAAAAAAATTAATAAGAGCAAAGTTGCAAGAAAATGAAAGCAGCCCTTCATTTGATTCAATTTTGTGTCATATCAGGTCATGAAAATTCAATAATCTGGCTCTTTCCGGGCTGAAGTTGGCAAAGTTTCATCTGAATGAACCGCAAGAGATCTTTGGATGAATAAGACCAAAGTGGGACAAAATAGCTGTCAGAGTGGGTTTTTTTGTTTGTTTTTTTTTTTACTTACAAAAGGACTTCAGACACAATGGAGTTGACGTCGAAGACAGTGTCTAAACCAAAACTCAAGAACTCCCTGCCGCCCCTGTCAACACAAACATSATATGGTTACAGAGGACATCAAGACCAGCTGAGCTAAAACTAATTTGGTTTAATAAAATAAATTTTAAAAAAAATTAAGAAAATGTTTTTTATATGAATATTAGAATGTTGGTGATTGTTTAAACAGCTTTAAGTTTCACTTTATGGTCATTTTGTCCTACATAATAAAACACATTTAAATATTACCTGTGATGTATTGCTGTATGTATAATAGAATCAAGGCTAACATTTATTTTTATGAGGTACGATTGAATCTGACTCGCCTGAAGAGAAAAGCCATGTGTTGGTGTCGTTCCTCAAAGCAGTACTTTGGTACCAGCTCTTTCTTGCAGCTCACCTGAACAAACAGCAAAACAATATCTTTTATTTCCCACACACCTGTCCGCTTCTACGACTCAGTCGACACGTGGAGGAGCGAGGCCCCTCGTACCGTTCCAACCAGAACTCCGTAATCCAGCAAAGCTGCTGCTGACTTCTCCAGCTCCACCAGGAACAGAGAGACAGTGAGAGAGACTGGAAACAATGACAGAAACACAGACAACAAACTCACACACCTGACTGAAATGAATGCAACATCTGAAGCATGCAGAGCAGTGGGTTGAAGACCTCTGATCTGTAGTCTTGTATGACTGGGGTGCTATTTCCCGTGTTGTCTGGTGGTTTGATGTGTTAAAGCTAATCTGGAGGMTATCGTTCACACATCCATGGGATTGTTTAAACATCACTTTGTTTGGTTCATGTTTAGTACAGGGTTCCTGCAGCTTAAAGGGATCCCCGATTAGTTGTAACATTAGACTTTATTTAATAAACATATATTTTAACTGTAAAATAAAGACTGTAAAAATACAGTAGGATGTTTAGTTTTTATCATTTTTAAACTAAAAGTTTAAAAATATAGTACACGGACGGGGCCATTTTATTTACAAGCAAAGCATTCTGGGTAAATGATGATGTGGGTAGGTCATCGGTGTGAGGCTGCTAGCGAGCTATATCCACCCTGAAGGTTAATCTTGGACAATATCTGATGATCGACTCTTTTAAATGAAACCAGAGAGCGTTGACAGAGAGGAGAAGGTAGAAATGACTCAGCCTGGAACTGAAAATATGGATGGAGGACCTCAGTTTAGCTTGTTTGTCGCACTAGCACCGAGCTAATACATATAAGGCAATATAGCGTCAGTGCTAGCACAAAGGTTAACAGGCTAAGCTGAGGTTCTTCTTCCATGAAGCAGCTCTGTTGTCCTCCATCTATATTTTCAGTTCCAGGCTGAGTCATTTCTACCTTCTCCTCTCTGTCAACGCTCTCTGGTTTCATTTAAAAGAGTCGATCATCAGATATTGTCCAAGATTAACCTTCAGGGTGGATATAGCTCGCTAGCAGCCTCGCACTGATAACCTATCCATGTTATCATTTACCCAGAATGCTTTGTGTGTAAATAAAAATGGCTCTGTCCATGTTAAAATATATTTTTAAAAATGTACAAAACTAAACAGCCTACAGTATTTTTACAGTCTTTATTTTACTGTTAAAATATATGTTAATCAAATAAAGTCGAATGTTACAACTAATCAGGGGTCCCTTTAAGGCAAGGTAAATTTAAGACTTTTTAAGACATCTTTAATGCCACCTGAAAATAAATTTAAAACCAACTTCACAATTTACACAAATGAAAAAAATAAAACCGTTAGCAACAGTTTTACCCAAATGTTTATTTTAACACAAAACAACTAGCTGTGAGAGACATTCAGTAAATTATTTTTTTAAATAAATAAATGTTATCAATTATTTTAATATTTGAGACAAATAACAATCATCCTACTTATTAACATTTTTAAGGCATTTGAAAGACTGATTTAAGACATTTTAAGGATCCGCAGGAACCCTGTAGTACAATGTTCAATTTTAGATACAAAAGACAGGGTCGGGGTAGCAGTGTGGGTGGGAGGTAGTGGTCTCMCCCATGCTGCAGTGAATTGTTAACAATTTTTGCCCAGATGTCACTGGAAGTTTGTGCAACATCCACAAATATGTCAACTCAATGTGAATCCAGATTTACTTTAGCATTTTCTCGCGAATTTGTGTCTCTGAATAGTCATCAACAATGCGATACAGGTTTAAAGATATTTTTTTACTGCTGTAATGTTTTTGATTTTGGCATTGCTTAGGGGATGTTGACATTTCGTCAGCAGCTGCTGCCATTTTCTTCCCAAACTGCTGTGACCAGATTTTGCAAGGCTGCTCGGTGCGTTTGTTTATAATTTCCTCCTGCTTCGTTATTTCTACGTGTTTCAACAAATCGAGCTGCCATCAGGTAGTTAGCTACAGCCTCGTCTTCCAGTTTTTAATTTTTGTTGATGCGTTTTGAAGAGACAATTTTTTGAAAAGAGGATCAAAGTAAATCACCCGAGTTTTTCTAGTGACCCCTTAAAGAGATAAGCTGCCATGAAGAACATTATTTTATCTGCCCTTCTTCCAAATTTTATAATGATTTGAAACGTCAAAGTATGTTTTTTTTAATCCAGAACAGCTCTTGTTGCAAAGTGTTTTGATGCTCATCTTCATCACCTGACACATTTAATGCGCTCTCATTGGTTGAGGAACTAACTTTACAAAACAGATGTCCAAATGGTTTTTATACTTTCTAAGACACATTAAGTTGATTTGATGCTACAGTTTGCCTTGTAATGTTATTTTATACCTTTTCTGCTTTGAATTGGCTATTATTAAGTTTTATTAGTTTTTTAGGAGACAAGATGCTTCCTACAAAACCAGAATAGGAATCTTTTCCTAAAATTTCATGGTGATATCTTTAACACTGAGGAAGTTATGGGAAAAATTAGAAAACAGCAAGGTGAAATGGTCACAAAGGCCCCATTGGTTCTGCTGTGAAAACATGAGCTGATTTCACCTGAACAAACATCAATAACTTCCCTCATACTTCAGATAATCAAATGATTTTGGTGTTATTTTGTATGGTTTGAAATGTTCTTTTGGAATCCRCTGTCAGATTTAATATTGGTGTAGGATTAAAAWTTTATCCACATCCCTACATTGTTTAACAATGTCAGCAACCCACTTTCATACTGGCCTCGCTCTGATGAGACGTTAGCTTCTGGATCGAGTTGGAGTCAACCTTGATTTTTTCAATCTACAACAGGTAGGATATTTTTTGCTTATAGCCTTTCCACAAAACCCCACATCTAAAGAACTGATCCTTTAACTTAAAGCCATGCTGCCTTCACTGAACCCCAGATGTGGGATACAAAAACTCTTCTGCTCCTGCCGTTAACAGTAATAAAGTTCATTCAGTTTAAGAAAGAAAACAACACATTGATGCTGGTTAGAAGCTCACCTTGTTGCTCAAAGTAGATGAACATCATTTTCCCAGAATGCAGTTTGTCATAAAACTCTGCTGGTGTGTATTCAACACGAGCTGAGGTGCATCCTCCAGACCACATCCACAGCAGGAAAACACCAAAACAAAACCACATCCTGAACTGTGTGGCACTGTCTTCTTTAAATAAAGCTGTAGCTCGAAACAAACCATAAACCCTATAGTTTAACTACTGTTCCACTTTAAGTATGCCCTGTTGTAAATAAATGATTCATATTTGTTGACCGGGCACATTAGCCCTTAGTGACAAAACACAACAGCTGGCTAGGCTAGCTGTCTGCATGCTAAGAAGCTAGCATTACTTTGAATAAATTATTAGTGTTTTCGTCGGTGTGTCTCCCTGAGAGATACTTCGGTGAACACTAGTCCGCGCAGTTATTTTGCGTCAGTTTACAAGRTAAAAGCTAAATAAATTTCCTAGAAAAAAAGATGCCAATCCTCGGCGGAATATAGGTTAAATCGCCGAAGCTAAATATTTTTTTCAAAATAAAATTAGTATAAAAAGCATGTTATAAAATTCCCTACTGATAAAATGTAACGTACTAATTGATCGTCTGAAATGTTACTGAAGCTCTGTTTGGGGTTTCCTTCCATTAGCATGTCGCTTTTCAGGGGGTTACTGCAGTTCAAGCTCTTATTTTGAAAGCTAAAATGCTTTTTCATCTTTAACTTGACGCAGATGTTTTATTTGTTTCTTTAAACCAACCACAAAGGGGGGGGGGGGATTTGTTTTGCTTTTAAAAGAATAAACCAATCACAAGCAAGCAAAGGGCGGACCTTATAGGAGCTGACATCATTATACACCAATGAGAGGATGGATTTCTGGAGGTTGGGCGGCGGAATTAGCCAGTAGAAATGTAAACTGGGTTAAGAAGGCGTGGTCTATTTTTCTCAACCCGGAACACAACTCGGAAACTAGGTAGAATCCCTGGCTCAAAACTCCTTCTGGTTTCTCCCTGAAGAGATTGGCGTAAAGCGCCAAGATGGCGGCTCATAAACAGCGAGTTTCCTTAACAGCGAGGGGGCGGGGCTAAAACCGCATCACAGCTGATTTGGAGGATCCCCCCCCCTCAAGTTGTTTTTGCAAAGAGCAGCTTTGCAGACAATCACAGAAGAACCTCTCTTGGGTTTTTTCCTCTTTCTTTCATGTTATTTTTAACTTATCGCGCTTTAAACGTAGATTTACTTCATTTTAATGTGCAGTTTTGCCATTTTAGTTTAAAAATGCTACTTCTTTTTAAGAAAAATAAACTGCTTTTATCGCAATTTTTCAATCGGATGTCATTGGCTGACTTTTAGCGTCTTTTTTCTTTGCCTTCTGGAGCCGTGAGGCTGGAGTGGAGATGTTTCCTGCAGCAGGAGAGGATCTGTTTACCTCACTGGAGGAGTCAAACGGAGATGCAATCTCTCCAACGCTGGAGCTCAGTCTGACCAGCCTATACACCTTGCTGTACTCTGTCCTCTTTGTGTTCGTGTACCTGCAGCTCTGGCTCATCCTGCACTACGGACACAAGCGCTTCAGCTACCAGAGCGTGTTTCTGTTCCTGTGCCTTCTGTGGGCAGCGCTCAGGACGACCCTCTTCTCTTTTTACTTTAAAAATGTGGCGCAGGCCAACCGGCTGCAGCCTCTGGCCTACTGGCTGCTCTACTGCTGCCCCGTCTGCCTGCAGTTCTTCACCCTCTGCCTGCTCAACCTCTACTTCACACAGGTGAGTCCGACTGCACGGGAAAGCAGCTGACTGTGCACTTTTTGTTGTTATTGCGCAGTTTGATTGCGCATTTAATGACCTGTTGTCCCGCGAGAGCAGTAAGCTTGTTTTGTTTCTTTCCTCTAAAGGAGCCACATTTGATTGTTGACATGAAAAACTCACCAATAATTTTATAACTTTTTTTTAGTTGAAAGAAGTCTAATGAAACAATATATTTAGGCATTTTTTTTCTTTGTATCAAACAGTGGCCTCAGTAGAATGTGGAAGAACCATACACAGCCACAACAGCTTAGCACCTCCCCCTCGAGGTGGATTTCTTCCACTTTGAGTGGAATATTACCACTGGAGGGGGCATTCCAGTTTAAATCTACCAATGGGAACTGGGAAATTACCACTTACCAGGWCTACTGGAACGCAGCATCATATTCTGTGAGGCATGAGCTCTATTCTCAAATGAGCTCCCAGTACTTGTTCATTGCAGAACGTTTTCCTAGCAGGAGTATGTCGCCAAATTTTGTGTGATTGGTCATAACTTCGTGGGTGCATTTATTCTGGAAAAAGTAGGTGAACCATGCTGCTCGCATTTCACTTTGACTGCTGAGGAGCAAATAGAAAGTACAGCCATCTATGCAGCAAAAGAGAGTCCAGAAACTTGTAGAAGTAGACAGCGTGGAGACACAGGTGGCTCTACGTCAGGGGTGTCAAACTCATTTTCTCTGAGGACCATGAGCAATGTGGTGGCTTTCAAATGGCCAGTTGTAATTAACTTTCAATGTTTTGTGTTTAACTTTGACAAAGAACAGGAAATGTCACGTTCCTCATCTTGTTGCTACTGTTGAGCATTAACAAACGAGATCTACGTGGTATTTTCTGCTTATAAACAGAGTTTTAACACATCCTCTTACTGAAAAGTACCACGCGTACGACTGACTAAATGTAAAATAAATAATACAGAAATACTGTTACAATTTAAAGCAAGAGAGTTTTACTCACTGTTGGGCTGTGGTGAGTAGCTGTATTGTATGCATTCTGAACTCTCCCACTTTCCTGCAGGGAAATCCCACTGGAGAAGGTGTTGTAGTTTAAATTCACGACTTGTAAGTGGGAAATTCCCACTTTCCCATACAACAGGGCCACAGCAGAAGTATCTGACAAAAACACAGTGAAATGGAGACTTTACTCTGTGATTTCAGCTGGTAAAATAAACATGAATTAAGTGGACTGTACTTACCGTATTTTTTGGACTATAAGCCACACCCGCCATTTAAAAAAAATCCGCGAACATTAACATATAAGCCGCACCGGACTATAAGCCGCACCCCCAACATAAAAAAACAGTACACCCAAATTTGCCGTCAAAAAAGTGAATTCAACATCAAAACATAAAAAGCAAACCTTTAGGAATTAAAGTTCGGAGGAATACGGTTCATTTAACTGACCTTATTTTGGTAGTTTTCTTTAACAGTTTCTGGTCCAACAAAATGTCTCATTCATCTTCCTCTGGCGCACTGAAACCATCGAAGTCCTCTTCAGTGTCGAAGTTAAACAAGCTGAGAAAAGCTGCGTCACACAGCGGTATCTGTTCAGTGCTGCTTTGTGTCGCTGTCCTCCCGGGGTAATGCTGGCTCTGAAGCTGTGCTGGGAAAGCCCTCCCGCTCCAGCATACGTCACTGCATGGGATTCCTTCCCCGGGGAGTGCAATGAGGAAAAAAAGTCTGTGGCTCTTCACTTGACGTTTATCCACAAACTGGTCCTGGATTAAGCTCCAAGGTTTTTATCAGTCAGATTCCACCGTGAAAATTTTTTTGTTTTTTGTTGTTTGAGTTTTTGGCCATTGACAATCTTTAAATCGCTGCTTCCTGGTCAAAAGTCGGCTCTGGAAGCGATCGCTTTTTTCTTTTTTTTTCCTTTCTTTTTTTGAAGCGAGTGGTTGAAGCAAATGCAGCATAAGAGCCCCCTGGTGGCTGAAGAAAAAAATCCATGTATAAGCTGCACCGGTCAATAAGCCGCATTGTTCAAAGTTCAGGAAAAAAGTCGCGGCTTATAGTCCGAAAAATACGCTATATAGCGCCTTTCGATCCATCCAGGACACTCGAAGCGCTTTACACTTACAGACATTCATCCATTCACACACTGATGATGGCAAACTACACTGTAGCCACAGCTGTCCTGGGGTACACTGACAGAAGCGAGGCTGCCATACACAGGTGCCACCGGACCCTCTGACCACCAGAGGTAGGCAAGGCAGGTGAAGAGTCTTGCCCAAGGACACAACAGCATGTGGGCATGGTCTGAGAGTCGAACCTGTGACTTGCAGATCCCAAAGCCGGCTGCTCTACCACTACACCACAGCTGCCCCAATTATGGGAGATGTAGTTTATTGTCAAAGCTGGTTTTATGCAMTTAATTTAAAATGATCTTTGAAGCTCTCACAGGCCATATAAAATGCAGTGGCAGGCCACATTTGGCTCGTGGGCCATGAGTTTGACATGTGTCCTAAGCTTAGAGACATGCTTTATCACCGTCTGTCAGAAATGGTGGCAGTGTCTCTACGACAAATTGGTAAATTAGAGCTTTTTCTCCGASAAAAATACCAGATCCCCCTCCATCACTGCGACGTGCTACAGTAGGAGGGACATTACCAGGAATTCTCGCCACAGTTTTTCTTTACGGATAAATGGTCCACGTGAGAAAGAACAGATTTCTTAACGTTTTGTGGAGTGAAAATCWTGCTATCCTATTCTTCAACCAGCAGTTGTTGCAGGTCGGACTGCGTTGTTGGGTTTGGAACAAGCAGCACACTCATCTGACTCCTCAGGTGTTCAGTGGGGTTGCAGGCAGGTGGTTCCATCCTCTCCAACTTACTTTAGTGATCCTGTGGTTCAATATTTTTTAACAGACTACTAACTAACTTTTTGTTCTGCGTCATCTTTCTATTCCTTCAGTAATAAATCTGTTCATTAATCCTGTGGTCGCTCACTGACATCTGCCTTGTATCCACTTCTAGAATGCATATCATCAGCCATACAAACGAAGGATAAGTGCTGTCCAACCTATTAGAAGGTAGAGGAGGGACAGTTTGGACACATTGTATGGGACTGGTAACCACTAATAATGTGTATTTAATGGATTGACAACATCAAAGTGGATGTTTATTGAATTAACACATTTTAGTGATCCTGTGGTTCATAGTGTTTTAAACTAACTACAAAGTTGTTGTTTCATATCATCTTTAATATTCCCTCTGTGATGAATCTGTTGATTAATTCTACAGCTGTCCTGTGGTCGCTCACTGATGTCATCAGCTCGTTATCATTTTCTGAGCCACAGAACTGYGAGTTGCTTTTTCACAAGTCGGTAAGCCCAGCTCGGCCCAGCTCGGCCCGGCTCTGATTCCACCTCAGTTAGCGGCTCAGGCGCCCGCCTCACCGCCTTACTTTGTTATTCCCAGACTGAGCTGTCTTATGAATGTCTTTGAGTACAAAACACTCAAATTTGAGCCATTTCTGTGACGTACTCTGATTTTGGTGAGCAAAAAAACACTACCATAAGCACTTTGTGACCTGCTAGCAGGTCCAGAAGGACCAGTCTAAAGCCATCCTGTGGGGATGATAACTACTAACGGCCCTTTAATGGGACGATAACATTCAAAAGGAGTGGCTAATTTTGACTCCTAGCTTAAGTTTTGCTAATTGTAATTTTTAGCTAATGTTTTGCTCACTTTAGCTTTAAAAGTTTTTTTTAGCTAATCTTAGCTTTTACCCACTTTTTGTTGATCGTAACTTTTAGCTAAGTTTTTGTTAGTTTTTAGATTCAGTTTATCTATTTATAGCTTTAAGCTAAGGTTTTGCTCAGTTTAGCTTTATACGTTTGATTAGCTTGTCCTGATGCATCTAATCCTGGTAGAAAACAAAACAAAACATTAAGTAGGTCCTCTGGACGGGTTCTTATTTAATGAAATGTTTCGTCTCTCCTCCAAAACGTTTTTTTTAAAGAAAAACCTCTCAAGAGGATCAAAACTTTTTGTTGTTTGATTAGCTAAATATAATTTTGCTAAATATGTATATTTTTTCCAATGTTATTGTTAATTTCAGCCTTTAGCTACAGTTTAGTGCATTTCATTTTTTATTTATGGCTTAGCTGATTTTAGTCTTTAGCTGTAGCCCATCCGCCTCAAGGTTTGACGTGTCGTGCCTTCAGAGATGCTCTTCTGCATACCTTGGTTGTAACGGGTGGTTATTTGAGTCACTGTTGCCTTTCTATCAGCTCGAACCAGTC